TTACAGCCTTTTCATAAGAAGCTTGGATATAAGACTGCAGCTAGATTAAGCAGTGGAAATCAACATTAAGGAACAAAAGAGAAGTTACCAAGTGCCCCTCTGCCCTTAGTTCAGGACATCTTACTGTTCGTATTTCATTTTCAACCTACATTTCTAGCAGTACCACTTGTTTACTTCGCTTGGCTGTTTTAATTGAAGGTTCTGTCTATGTAAAAAGTTCAGAGTGAGGAAGGGCTATGAGCTGGAGAAACCCCCAGACCCGTGTGCAATCCCCACTCCACGTAGGGCACTGACTGTGACCTCAGGCCCGTGATCCTTCTCTCTAGATGTCAATACCTAACACATCAAGGTTGTAGGGAGAGTTTCTTTTAGATAAAATGTAAATGAATATAAGGCTACAAGCACAGTGCCTGGCATATAACGGGTTCTCAGTCATATAACGGGTCAACCAATGGTAGAATTATTTTATTTAATTAGCTAAATGAGATCTTTACATGTACCAGAGAGAAAATTAGACCTGGATTAAAACAACCACAATATTTATTCCAAAACAGACCATTAGACCCTATTTATAAATTTCAAATTTTTATGCAGCCTCATTTCACAAAGGATTTAATAAGGCCTATAAATATTCATATAAAAATAAGGTACCTCTTTTTTACTGTTGAAAACTGATTGAAGGGAAAATAAAGATGGGACTTGAAGTGATTTAAGACTGAGCAGTCCAGCTGACAGCATGTGCTTCCGAGAGCAACAGGGCTGCATAAACTCAGGGCGACTTGCCAGGGTCCACGTGGCTCCCCTTAGCCCACTGAAAACCTGCAACATGTTATTTTCCATGTCTTTTATTGGCTGGAATGAATATGTCAGGATCAGTCACCCTATTTTAACCAGACTGCAGTTTCCTTTGACTGAGACCTGAGTGGAACTGACAGAGACCCTGATCCCTGTGCTATTTCTTGGTTTGGAGTTTTCGTGGTGCTCTGAGGATTCTGCACTCTAAGTGCCTGTTAACTCTACTCTCATCTGCGACTGAAATGCCTCCCGCTGCTCCAGGTCACTAAGCTGGTTTTCCCTGGCTGTTTTCTTGTATGTTGGAGAAGCTTTGTTTATCAGAGTTCCCGGAAAGTCTGTAGGCTCTCCTGAGATTCAGAGCCACTGCTGCAGTCAGAACTGGGTTTTTATCAGTCTCCCTGACTGTGAAAAGGGAATAAAAATACCTCCAGACAGAACCACGGTGAGAATCAAATGGCAGCATGGCTGCGGTGCTCCCCGCAGGGCCCAGGGTGCAGAAAGAGCTCTCAGCCATCAGCTGCCTTTCCCATTGATCCTCACCTGTACCATTAGGTTTGGACGACACAGTTGGAATCCCAAAAATTGGTGAGAACCTAAATGCACTGGCCTTGACTGCAGAACTGCTGAGTCCTGGGACTGGGGAGGTGCCAGAGGGAAAGGTTTTCTTCATCTTACAGATGAATCTGTGAGATGCAGGTGTGACCCTCTCCTGCCTTCCCCACGGGCTGCTGAAGAGATAAGAAAGATGTCAAAGGGCACTGCAGATGGCACAGACCTTGGTAAAGTCAAGGATCCCTGCTATCCAGCTCAGCCCTGGATGGCATAGATGAGGAGCCTGACAAATATTGGTCAGAGAGGTTGAGACCCCACCATGCTCACAACACTGAGAGTAGCAGGATAAGGCCCTGCTCCTTTCATTGGTTCCCAAGCCTGAAATGAATGACACCCTCAGGCTTCTTTACTACCAGCTCCGAGTGGCTCCAGGTCATGATGGACCCTTCCGTTTCACTGCCCAGGGGGCGCAGATGAAGTCAGCAAACTGAGATGTTGTGATTGTTTACCTCCCATGGCCTTGGGCTAAGTGCCCAAATTTGTCCCTGCTGAGTCTGGTGGGAGGTGAAGGGGTGGCTTTCTGCTGTTGCGTTTTCTTTCGAGGAATAAGGACAGACTGCTGTCACGTTAATTCGTATGATTGTGCACCCGTAATGTCCGGTTTCACCAACAGATGGTGTGTACAGGGCTGGCTGTGATTCCTCGTTTTTAATGTGCAAGGTGAGGGCCAGTTTTGCATTCTGAATAGTGCTTGGTCTCTGGAGCCAGATGGCCTCCACGGAACCCCAGCCTTACTGCCTCCCAGCCGTGTGCCCTCAACCTGCTCTGTGTCTGCCTTCTCCTGGCGCTCTGGCAGGATAGACAGAGCAGTGGCATAGAGTGGGGACCCAGTAAAAATGTGCCTTAGTGGCCACCTGCCCGTGCAAGCCGCTGTACCAGCTGGATGCACAGGGGAGAAATCACAAAGGTGCCACTTCCGGAGAGTAATCCCTTCCTTCCAGTCACGGGGCTCATCCAAGAGTACAGGATGTGAGCCCTGTGAGAACAGGGTCCTTGCCCCTCCTGTGTCCCCTGCATCTGGTCCTGGGGAGCTGCTGAATAACCATCTGCTCAACAACAGGAAGAAAGTAGTGCAGCAGAAAGAGCCCAGAATCTGGGGGATGGAAGGTCGGATTTCAAGTACCTTGTATTTCAGTGAAGAGCTGCAGGACCCTGGGAATGTGAATAGCAGCAACCTCAGGAAAGTAAGGTGAGGAAGGATTAAAGTCCTTCTCAGCTGGGGGACACTCACCTGCTGAGGAACATTTGGCAATGTCTGGGGCCCTTTCTGGTTGTCACAGGGATGGAGGTGCTGATGGTATCTAATGGGTAGAGGCCACAGATGCAGGTAAACATCCTGCAACAGCCAAGACCATCTCCACATCAAAAAACTGATGTTGACAGTCATCAAATAGTAACAAGGTTGAGAAATCTTGGATTAAAGGAACATGATCTGAAACCATAAAATCATATACAAATATTGGCTATTATTATAGCATTATTATGTGTAACAAATGCAGTGTTATATTTTTAAGATGGAAAGACCTTTTGGAAAAATCATCTTTGCTCTTATCTTTAGCCAAAAATAGGACAAGCACCATGGTGCATTTCTCAAACTAATGGAAGGTTCTGCTGCCGAGGCCTTCAAAGCCCTGGACCGGTCCCCCGAAGCAATGCTCCACCTGGCTCAGTGGCCTTTTGACAGCTGAGGCTATTAACCAAAAATAAGGTGTGCTTCCAAAATATTAGGCAGTGCTAATTTTAATTCTGTTTTGTTTAGAAACGGAGGTCCAGAGAGGTCAGACCCAGGGCTCCACCTCCATGGCCCACAGTGGCCCGTGCATGCCTGTATCCCAGCTTCCCCCCTGCAGGCTGCGAGCATCCTGAGGTCACAGGCCCTGCGAAGTCACCTTGGTGCCCCAGGGCCCAGCCCAGGACTATGGTGCATCTGTTAAAGGATGGAGTGAGATTCTCCTGCCGAAGCTGCCTGGAGTGATGCCCTGCCCGTGTGCCCTTGGCGCTGTGAGCTGATGACGGCTTCCTCATCACATGTGGGTGGGGGGAGCCCTCTCTCTGTCCTTGAGCTTTTTCTAGCTGAGGAAGCACCTCTGTCCGCACAGGAGGCAGGTAGCTGTGCAGGGGAGTTAAGGCCCTCAGGAGCATCTTTCAGCTCGCAAGGGCTCAGAGGTGAAGGTGACGGTCCCAGGGCAAGGGAGGAGATAGAGGGCTTAGAGGGTTTCCTGTTTTGGAAGAGGATTCTTGTGACTCAGCCTAGAAACAACTAGAGGATGCAGCTTGGGCACACATGGACTCTCCCAGCAGAAATTCTCAAACTATTAGGCATCAGAATAGCTCGAAGACCATGTTGAAATGCAGATTCCCAGGCCTGCTCTCTCGGCTGCTGAGTCAGAAGGCTGCTGCTTAGGTTCCGGAGGCAGCTGCAATGTGGTCCCACCACCTGGGAGGCTTGAGACAACAGAATTTATCTTCTCATGGTTCTGGAGTCCAGAGTCTGAACTAGTGCAGCCTGTAGGCCTGGCTGCTTCCGGAGGCAGTGAGGGAGATTCGTTCCAGGCCCCTCTGCAGCTTCTCGGGGCTGCTGGCAATCTATGGCATTTCTTGGCTTGTAGCTGCATCGTTACGGTTCCTGCCTCTGTCCTCACATCGCCTCCCCCGGGTGTCTGTGTCTCTTCCTTCTTATCAGGATGTCAGTCATACTGGATTAAAGGTCCCCTGCTCTGGTATGACCTCACCTTACCTAGTTCCAGCTGCAACACCCTGTATCCAAGTAAGGTCACATTCAGAGGTCCTTGGCACTAGAACGCCAACCTATCTTTGGGGGGGAACAATTCATCCCACAGCAGGTGCAGCAACTTTGAATGCTACTACCCCTCCCCAGGTGATGCGGATGTGACCCCGGTGGCCACAGTGCTTGCTTCTGAGTCATGTTTTGCTGGACTCTGCACAGCAGAGGCCTGTGCCAGCCACACGTTGAGCAGGACCAGTCTGTTGCGGGCCGATGGCCAGGTAGGCAGGGAATGAAAGGAGACGACCCCCGGGGGATGCCAGGACAGTGTGGCCTCAGGAGGTACGAAGGAGAACCTGGATCTGTGTCCCAGGTCACTAATACCATCAGTCCACGGGCCACCCAGCTGACGTCAAATATGAAAGTACTTGATTTAATGTTCTAGCTACTCAAGTGCCAACACAGGAGGTGCTTCAGACACAGGACTGCAGGACAGGGGCAGCATAAATAGGTCCCACATTTTTCTTGGTTTAAAAGGAAAACTCTTGGTTTGGGGCACATTGTGCTCATGAATGGACTTTTCACAGGCATCTGTACAAATGAGAAACAGCAAAAGGTAGGCCCAGGTGGTTGCAACGTGACTCCTGTCCCATGTATGCTGTGGAGCGGGGATGGTTGGACATGGGGGTGTCACTGTGATGCCGAGACAGTGTCCTGGTGGGACACGCCAGCCTTCCACCTGCATGGAGGGTGGCCATAGGTGGGGGACATCAGCTCTGGCAGGTAGCCTATCAGCCTTCAGACTGTTGCGGGAGCGCCTCAGATAGGCAGAGAGGTGAGGAGGAAAGATCAACTGCTCTCTCGGCTGCTGAGTCAGAAGGCTGCTGCTTAGGTTCCGGAGGCAGCTGCAATGTGGTCCCACCACCTGGGAGGCTTGAGACAACAGAATTTATCTTCTCATGGTTCTGGAGTCCAGAGTCTGAACTAGTGCAGCCTGTAGGCCTGGCTGCTTCCGGAGGCAGTGAGGGAGATTCGTTCCAGGCCCCTCTGCAGCTTCTCGGGGCTGCTGGCAATCTATGGCATTTCTTGGCTTGTAGCTGCATCGTTACGGTTCCTGCCTCTGTCCTCACATCGCCTCCCCCGGGTGTCTGTGTCTCTTCCTTCTTATCAGGATGTCAGTCATACTGGATTAAAGGTCCCCTGCTCTGGTATGACCTCACCTTACCTAGTTCCAGCTGCAACACCCTGTATCCAAGTAAGGTCACATTCAGAGGTCCTTGGCACTAGAACGCCAACCTATCTTTGGGGGGGAACAATTCATCCCACAGCAGGTGCAGCAACTTTGAATGCTACTACCCCTCCCCAGGTGATGCGGATGTGACCCCGGTGGCCACAGTGCTTGCTTCTGAGTCATGTTTTGCTGGACTCTGCACAGCAGAGGCCTGTGCCAGCCACACGTTGAGCAGGACCAGTCTGTTGCGGGCCGATGGCCAGGTAGGCAGGGAATGAAAGGAGACGACCCCCGGGGGATGCCAGGACAGTGTGGCCTCAGGAGGTACGAAGGAGAACCTGGATCTGTGTCCCAGGTCACTAATACCATCAGTCCACGGGCCACCCAGCTGACGTCAAATATGAAAGTACTTGATTTAATGTTCTAGCTACTCAAGTGCCAACACAGGAGGTGCTTCAGACACAGGACTGCAGGACAGGGGCAGCATAAATAGGTCCCACATTTTTCTTGGTTTAAAAGGAAAACTCTTGGTTTGGGGCACATTGTGCTCATGAATGGACTTTTCACAGGCATCTGTACAAATGAGAAACAGCAAAAGGTAGGCCCAGGTGGTTGCAACGTGACTCCTGTCCCATGTATGCTGTGGAGCGGGGATGGTTGGACATGGGGGTGTCACTGTGATGCCGAGACAGTGTCCTGGTGGGACACGCCAGCCTTCCACCTGCATGGAGGGTGGCCATAGGTGGGGGACATCAGCTCTGGCAGGTAGCCTATCAGCCTTCAGACTGTTGCGGGAGCGCCTCAGATAGGCAGAGAGGTGAGGAGGAAAGATCAGTTCGGACCCCGTGCCCACAATTCTCCTAAGGGCACCCTGGTCCAGGCCTCCTCCTTTCCCATATGCTGATCCCTGACTCCCCCTCCTGGAAAACAACTCCTGCCTTCTTCATTTTGCCAACTCCTTCCTGTTAAGTGTGCCAGCCTCCGTGCAAATCCATGACCACAAGTCTCCAAGGGGCCCTCAGCACGGCCGGGCAAGCCTGCTACATCTGCCTGGTCAATTCACTTTTCAAGTGAGAAAGAACAACTGATTGGTTGAAGCCGCTGTATAGTGGTGTTTCTGCTAAAAGCAGCCAGATGCAACCCCTAAATGATACAAGGAGGGATATCTCCTTTTCATTTTCTTTTACAAGGAAACAATTTGGATTCTTTGGATTCCAAACTGAAGTATCTTCTGGCACACAGCACAATGCAGAACACAACTGCTACCCACTCGGGTTATCAGCCCTTATGCTGGCTCACGTTTGCCTCCGTGCCCTCTCTGAGGACCCCTCAGTCCACGCCTGGGTCAAGAAGAGCTGAGTCAGGGCTGCCTGCAGCCTGAGGTCCAAAGCGCCCAACATAGTGTGAGCAGAAGTTCCCAGGACTGGGTTTCTAAGGCCCAGAAGGGACGGCGGGCCTCGGAGCAGACAGGGACGCAGGGCAATTGCTAAGCTCTGAAACCACTCACTGCATCCGCCCCCACCTTCCCCACGTCTGACGGGCCATGGCTGCACTTTCCCATTCTGCTGACCAGAAGAGCGGGCCAAGCCAATGTGGTTCCCAGTGGGTGAGGTTCGCTGTCCCGGCCTGGTGTGTGTGTCCAGGCTGACATGGGCGCCCTCTGGGCCCTACAGATGTAGCCACCCAGGACTGATGACAGGCTGCTGTATCTTTCACCTGCCCCGGCACCTCAGTGGGAAGGGGGTTTGCCCTGCCTACCAGCCCACTGGCTGCACCCAACTAACCCTGCCCTGAGCCCCTCACCACCTGCTACTGCCCAACCTGTGCATGCTCTGATAATTCCAACTTCTTAGCCAGTGGCAGGCTCCTACGCCTGCCATGCCGTCTTGCTGCTTTGTGCATTGTCCTCGCTCCTGGAGCTCCGCTCCTTTCTCTTCCTCATTCTGCAGGGCTCAGCTGGGCGGGGAGCCTCAGGAAGCCTCCCTGACACCAGGCTGAGCTGGCACCTGCTGTGGGGCCACTGCCTGGGCTGTGCTTTTCTGTGACACGCGTCCCCTGTGCAGCTGTCATCAGCTATGAGCGGAAAATGCATACAGATCAACATGATATTTATCCACCAGGCCCTCCTGGAGCGCAGAAAGTGTATCTGACGTCTCTGCAAGCCCAGGGCATAGTTCAGTGTTGGTCAAATGGGGCTGATCTGCTGCCAGGCCTGCCTGTTGGGCATGAGCCCCCACCCCGTGAACCCACTCCTCCCCTGCCCCTAACCAGTCACAGCAGGATGAGCCCCGGCTTGGAATGTTGGGGGGGACCAAGCCTGGGCCCTCTGCTTCTGCTGCTGACCAGACAGTCCCTCCCAACTCTGTGCTGTCCTGCCTCCTGCCAGCCCATGATGCTGGGATCCCCGCACAGCCCACACCCCCTTGTCCCATTAGATCATCACCTCATGGGGTTTTTTGCACACTCCTACCATGCCAGGTATTGTATTGATTGCTTCTTTTAATCTTACAAAAAGCACATTGCAAAGGAGCGATTTCTATTTTGTTAAGGATGAAAATGAGGCTCGGTGAAATTAGGTAGCTGGCGCGCCGCCGGTCACTCTGGGAGACAGAACCAGGACTGACCCAAGGCAGCGTTGTCCCCAAGCTCAGGCACTTCCCACCCATGGGCCTCCTCTCTGTGCCAGCCTCCCCGTGTGCCAGAGTGCCCTGCGGGGGCAGCTACCCCATTTCCCATGAAGACCCTGGGGTCCAGAGAGGGGACATCAGCACCTTGCCCAGACCAAGTGGCAGAGGCAGGGTCAGGACACGGGCCACCTGCCACTTCCCTTCCCACGCCGTGGCTGGCTTCCCTGGGTGGCTGGGGACTGCGATTCTCCCAGGGAGCCTGCCTGTCGCTTGCATGGGCTCTGCCCAGGGGACGCTGGGGGAGGACTCACTTCTCTCTGTTGAATATGATGAACTCCTTGCGCACGGTCTCCAAGCACTGCTGGAGGTGTCCGTTCTGTCAGAGAGCAGAGAGAGGCGACTGTGAACCGCACAGCACCATCCAGGCGATGACAAGTGGGTGGCTCTGAATGGACTGTGGGTGCTTGGGGCTGGGGACAAACTGGGTGGCTGCAGCAGCCCTGGTTGTGCAGGCGGCTTGCCAAGGGGAGCCTGGCAGAGGGAGATGTTTTTCTCAACTCTAAGCTATTAAGTCCAACTTAAAAGCCATGTTCCAATGGAATGGATTGGAAATCATGAGTTTGGTTTCCTGATCACCCGAATGTTCATTAGGCCTAATGAAGGAGCATGGAGCGGGGGTGGGGATGTTTCAGACCAGCATGCCAAGGTGCTCATTCTCATCACGAACAGGTGCCAAGGCTGCTGTCTCACAGGTACTCTGTGACACACGCCTTAGAGGCTGCCTGACGGGTGTGCACTGCACGTGTGTGCAGACCCCAGCCCCTCGTGCACCCTCACTGACACACGCTCAGGCCTCTCCAGGCCAGCCTCCCAGGCCCAGCGGGTGCAGAACCTGGGATCCATGCTACGTGAGGTGGCTCCAAGTTTTCATTTCTTTTAAAATCAGCATTAAAAAAATGAGCGTTTAGCATTGAAAGTTATATTCATCTCCATATTCACGTGGTTGTAAATGCAATTTGAAATATATTTTTATGTGGGTTGCATTGTGCCCAGTGTTGATGTCACTCGCATTGTTTCTTCCACTCCTGTCCCGAGACCCCTGAGGCTCCTGCACGAGGGGGAGTGTAATGTGGACGATCAGAGCGAGGTGTGCACACTCCCGGGGCCTTGACAGTTCCACGCTGCCAGAGACCACTGGTTGCGTGGAGGCACTGTATCACTGTAAATGAAGGTGTTTGGAAAGGGGGAGGAACAGGCCTCCAACTGGCCACAAAGCGGCTGGGCTCGATTATATTCCCCGGACTCTCAGGTTCCTGTCCTCCTGCCCTCTGCTCCCGAGACAGGCTCACCAGGGGACAGCTGTCCTTTGGGCCATCTTTGGACCTGTTCTTGGCCAACCTCTTCTTCTTTTTGTGAAGTGGCTTGGATTCGAGAATCATCTCTTCAAGTTCAAATGTAGGATCACAATTCAATCTCCCTTTCTGCAAGGAAGCGCAAAAGAAAACATGGCTTGGCTTTGCGCCGCCCCTCACTGAACTGTTTTCATCCATTCGCTCACTCAGCAAGTGGTGATTTACTACTACTGTGGGACACGTCCGCTGCACTCTTTTTCCTGATGACGAGGACGAGCACACTCTCACTGCCTGCACTGCTCACTCACCCCCGGGCCCAAGCCCTGGTTAACACCCACACGTTTTCTGTCTCCTTTCCTAGGCATGGTCATTGGAGCTGAGTTCGGTTTCCCAATCTGATTTTTTCATTTGTTTTTATCATACTCACATTCTCACATCATTACTATCTTTTCTGTAAATATCATTTTAAGTAATTTAATTTAAAAAATGCCATTCTGGCCCAAATCTGCCCAATTCCCTACCTTGGCTCCCTGCTCCCTCTGCGTCCGGCGCCGGCTGACCCTCCGGGGGGCCTTGCTCCGGTCCAGAAACCGCCCACTCTGATCAGGAGGAATTCTGCCTCCCTTGACTGCTGGGCTTTGGGCCCGAGATCCCAGGCGGCCGTTCACCACCCCGAGGCCCAGCCCTGTGTGCCAGTCCCCTGGTGGTTACGTAAACCGCACTGGGGGTGCACAGGGCTCTTCCCCAGCAAGCAGGTGGGATTTGGGACCCAAGTCTTTCCTGGCCTGATTTACCTGCTATTCATCCATTCATTCATTCATTCATTCATTCATTCCAATGCAGGCTCTCCACCCAGACTGTGTGAAGCCAAACCCTGACTTTGTCACTTTCTCACTGAGTAATCATGGGCAAGTTACTTCACCTGAGAATAACTTAGGCAGAGAATACCAACAGGACCCACTTTCCCGTGAAACTTATATGAGATACTGGGCATGGGATTTTCAGACAGTGCCTGGTAGACATTGTGGCCTTCTAGTATCTTCCAGGGCCACCTGATGCTCTGGGGTCTTGCAGGCAGAGGCCAGACAACACTGCAGAGCCTCATCCGCCAACTCTCTCGGGATGGCAGATGCTCTGTAACAGAATGTTACTGACCGCTTACATAGACCTAGCCACCCACCCTGGGGGGGGGACCAGAGAGGCTGCAGTCCCCGTAGGTAAGGAGGTGGAGGGCGGGCTGGGGAAGTGTCTCAGAGAGGCAGTGCTTGAGCTTGCCTCTTACCCAGGAGGTGGTTACTGAGGCCACCCCACCCCCAGATGCCAGTCACTGCATTTATGCTGCGTGGGGGACTGCAGGGGACTGCCAGGTGGACAAGGAGAGCGTGGGCTTCCCCAGAAGAGGACGCCGTGTGTGCACAGGTTTGGAGCATGGCCAGAGGGGACAGCGCAGGCATCTGGGTGTGTCAGAAGCAGGGGTCCTCTGCTGGTGTGTTTGTGTGTGTGTATGTGAGTGTGCATGAGCGTGTTCGGGCAGGGCTGGGGAGGAGCAGTAGGCGAAGGCTGGAGGGCAGGTGTCTGCCCCTGACATACAGGGCCACACACTGGCCCTGAGGGCCCCCGGGGCATCTGGCACACAGCCATGGGGAAGGCTCAGATTTGACAAGGGAAAGAATTACTTGGGCAATCTGCCCCGTGTGGAGGACTGGCCCAGGGTGGCTGGGTTTTGCCTATCTGGTGTGAGCCTGGCAGAAGGGGCCCGCCGAGAACGCTAGTGCTTTTCTGTGGCATTTCCAGAGTGCGTGTTCAGAGGGAAGGCAGCCAGGGGAGTGGAGAACAGACCTGGGTGGGCTTACTAATTAAGATGGCAGCTACACGGTGGCATTACTGGGGGGCTCACTGCGTGCCAGGCCCTGCTCTGTGCCTCGGCGAGGCTCCTGGCACTTACTCTTCTCAAGCTCCACGAGTGGTCTCTCCTTTCACCGCAGTTATGGCTAAGGACCTCAGCTCCCGAGCACACCTGAGATCCCAGAGGTGGAAGCCAATCTCCAAGGCTGTGCCCCAGCAGCCGGAGCCCGTGGGCTCCTTCTGGGACCCAGCCCTGGGTTACTGCTTGTGCCATTGTGTATTTGTTGGTTCCTGTTTGCACAAACCCCTGGTCCAGGGGCTGTGGCCAGGCAGCAGGTGTTCCCAGGGGAGAGCTGGCAATGTGTGGAGGCTGCTGGTGCTTCGTGGGTAGAGCCCAGGGACGCTGCTGAATGGCCTCCAGTGCAGGCCCCCCCCCCACCCATTGAGAATCATTGGCTCTAACGCCGGTGGTGGCACAGCTGAGCCCTGCTCAAGTGGGCAGCTTCCCTGACAACCGGCACTGGGCCCTTTACTGGGGATTCACCTTGGGTCACACACATGCCTGCATATTTGGTGCCCCCTGAAGACGGGGGGCAAGGATGGATGCCACTGAAGTCTATGCTTTCCTTATTACTGACTCATTTTCACTTGCCCGTGAAGTGTGGTGGGAAATGGGCCCAGAGGAAGCCGCCCTGCCCTACAGAGGGGGCCACTCCCTCTGCAGCTGACTCCGCTCTCGCCAAGGGCGCCTGTCCACCTGCAGACAACACACACATGCACAGCCCCCTCACACCACTCACAGACAGTGTACCACACCCATCTATGCATGTGCACACTACACCCCCCCCACATACACACAACACACACAACACGCTCCTCGCTCACCACATACTCTCCCACGCTCACCACACACACACACACACACACACACAGAGCTCCGGTTGGCCAGGCAAAGCCCCCGCAGTGTCACGGCAGGGGAAGGGCCCTGACGGAGCAGCCGCCGCTCTGCCCAGCCTGCCCCGCCCCTCGCCCTCACACCCCTTCCTCTCTCACGGCTGTGGGAGGGTGAGTGAGGAGGCGGGGAGCCCTCTGAACCCGAGGCAGCCTTGGGGCGTGGCGGGTCAAGGAAAGCTTCCTCTGGGGGGAGGCCCTAAGGAAAGCTGGGCTAGGCAGGAGGAGGGAGGGGGCCAGGCCTGGAGGACAGCGGGGAGCACCGTGAACGCTGGGCCAGGGCCTGCCCCACAGGGAGTGGGCAGTGGGCTGGGGACCCTGCTGCACTAGATGGCTTGTTGGGGGACGATGTGGAAACGCCAGTGCCTCCCAGGCTTTGCTTTCAGAGGATTGAGTCTAGAGGAAGGTCGGGCTGTGGGGGACCTGCATTCAGAGACATGCTCTGTACTGTCCAGTAAACCTGAGGCCTTGGGTTCTCGGAAAGACCAATTTGGGGAAATACTGTGTCTGCACCAACAGGAGCCCCAGAAGTCTTTAACATGATCCGACATAAAACACCACTCTGGGCGTCTGGGGCTCCCACCTACACCGAGAGGCACCAGCCAGTCTCTTCTGCTTTCTGAACCTGACTGTCCACTTCCGTGCAGACACCAGAGGTGGGGACAGGTGGCACAGAGGCCGACTCCGGACCTGTGGTGAGGCCTCTCTCCTTCACACCACCTCCACCAGGCAGGCAACCGTGCTCCAGCCTTCCCAGATGGACAAGGCGGGCCTGCCTGCGGGTGCACCCTGGACCTGTGCACACAGTGGGGTGACTGTCTCTGGCAGCTGAACCTGTGCACACAGTGAGGGTGATTCAATTAAGAGAAAGGGGGCTTTGAACCCACAAGGACCTGCTACAAAGAGGGAAGCTTCCCAGATGGAAAGTTGGAAATCAGGTCCAAATCCACCCTGAATCTCATTGAAACCTGGACCCTTTGGTGCTCAAGGGCCTGTAGCCAGTAGGGCCTCACTGGCTAGCTTTTGGGGCCTTCCTCAGCACCAAGTCAGGGGACCCCGCAGAAGTGTGAGAGGCCAACGACGGAACCTCCACTCACATTGGGAACAAAGCCGGGCATCAGTGCCTTCTCAGACACTGCATCCCAGTTCATGTCGGCCAAGTAGGGGGCGCTCTGAACGTCACCGAGGCTGGACAGGCGGCTCTCGGGGTCCTTGGTCAGGAGCTGTGGGCAAAGAGAAAACGTGCTTGCTTGAGCTGCGCACCCCACTGGGGCTAGCAGGGACTCTGAGGGGGCGCTAGGGAAAGTGCACGCGCCTCTGCTCCATTACTGTCGTGCCCTGTCTTGGCTGCTGTCATTGGACACGTCACCTACGCACATCCCTTTACAGCAGGGGAAGGACTGAGCAGCTTCCGGAAGGTCATCCAGCCAGAGGCTCTAGGGCAGGACTAGATTCCAGCCACCGTGCTCCCCTGGGGGTCCTGTGCCCCATCACACGCTGCCTGTCACTGATGTCTACAGAGGCTTCCAGTTAAAAATAAACAGAATCAGCCACCTCGTGTTGGGACTCTCAGCTTGGTGATGGGATGGTCAAAATTGTAATAAAATGAATCTCTGAACAGCTATGAGGTGACCTCTGTGGCCTGATGGACTGGCCTCATTTTGTAGCCCAGGGGACAATTTTTAGCTCCTCAATTAGAATTGCTGCTAATAAGGGGTGATATAGTATAAAAAACATCCCTAGAGTATCACCTTGCATCCAGATGGGGCTTCCGCTTTCAGAGACATTCTGGCTCATGTAATGCAAAGAGCACTTGGGCTAAAACGCAGGACGGGGCCTCAGTGGGGGGCTGGCCAGTCGCTGGCCGGTGGCCTGGGGAGCTGCTGAGGGCTCTGTGCTTGTCCCTCATCCGAAAGCAGCAAGAATATGGTAATTTGTCCACTTCCACCTCATGGTGGGATGAGACCCAAAGGGGATGGATGGCTAAGGACCTGCACACACTGAAGGAGGGTGTGTCACCCAGGTGCCAACAGGGGGGAGCCGCCCTGCATTTGTTCCCACCTGTCACTGCAGAAATCTGCAGAAATCTCCTAGCTCTGCCCAGCCAGTGGTAGAGGTCACACCTAGCCCAGCGAGTGGTAGGGGTCACACCTAGCGAGGGACACCTGGCAGTCCTGGCTCTCAGCATGGTGGCTGCTCTCTAGGGCCCGCCCCCAAATGGCAGGTGCAGATTTAAACAGACACCACCTCACTGGGGGCTGATGCACCGGGGGTGGGAGGTGGAGGCACTGGCATGCACATAGGGCTTCTGGGGGATTGCGGTCAGCAGTTGGGGTTAAGGACCACTGACTTCTCAGGACCAGGTGGCGAATGTCTACTGATGTCATGTGACTGATGGGAACTTCAACACATCACTTACAGCCACATAGGGAGTCGGGCCTGGCACCTGGAGGTCGGGAGCTTGGCTTCCAATCTTGCCCGTGCTCTGCCAGCCGTGGTACTGACTCACTTCACTTTCTTGAGCCTCAGTTTTCTCATCTCTAACATGGGGGCAATGACAGTCCTCTGCTCACAGGGCTTGTGGGGACTAAGAGCCACCATGTGAGGGACACCTGGCAGGGCCCAGGACACAACAGGCCCTCAATCAGAGCTGCTGTGGGCATCACTGCACTCTCAGTAAGAATGGCTGGGTGCCAACCAAGCAAGGCTTGACCCTGTGTGTCGCGGGGGTTCCTAGTGAGCATAGCTGGATGCCAGCCTCCCACAGGGGGCACCACAGCCTGTCTGTGCCAAACTCCAGTGGGTATCAGAACCACCCAGAGAGATTCTCAAAACACAAAACATGGGGCTGCACCTCTAGAACTTCTGATTCCAAAGGTCTGGGGTGGAACCTGAGAATCTACATTTCCACAGGCTCCCAGCTGATGCTGTTGCTGGTCAAGGGGTGAACTTTGAGAACCACCGCTTTATCCTAAGAGCAATGCTTCCCAGAAAAAATCAGGAGATACCCAATTTCTTGAAGCTCAGTAAGTGAAAAGACCATTTAGAGCAAACATTTTGAAAAGGCCTATGCATCAATCGTTTGCTTATTAGGAGCTTGTGGCGGAGTGAGTGGAGCCTGGGGCCTCGCCGCTACCCGTGTGACTCCAGGCCCCGCTCTGCCGTCAGGGGGCCTGTGAGCTTGTGTGCGAGGTGGGCAGACAGCCTCAGATGCGCGGCAGAGGCCAACCACTTCCCGCTGAGCCTCCGGCGCCCTCACCCGCGTCCCGCACGACACCCGCCAGCTCCCAGGCTTACCTTCTTCAGCAGGGCCACCATACCCTTGCCCCACGTGGAGGAGTAGTGGACGCGCTCCGCCCTGAACATGCTGAGGATCTCCTCGACGGGCGTGGCTGAGTGGATCTCATAGGGCCTCTGCAGGCAAGGAAAACAGGAGGTGTCAGTGAGCTGGCGGGAAGACGCCTGCCTGGGTTAGAACAGTGTGACTACCGGGGAGTGGACTCTTCACCGCAGAGCAAGTGGACTTTCTGCTGGGGGCTCCTCAGAGCGGGGATCCTACAGGTTCACCTCTGGGCTCTCAGGGCCCCGAACAGTGTCTGCCGTCCAGCAGGGACGACAAGGATGATGAATCAGTCCATCCACAAGCACAGACTGAAGGCAGTGCCAGCCCAGGAGCTATGGGGTCCTGAGCCCTGGTGCGGGGGCTACAACTCCCTGGAACAAAGGTACACCTTTATCTTCCCCAAAGAGGGGTCCCCTGGGGAAGCCGTCTGCCCACGGGGTGTGCCCACTTCCTGACTGGCTGCCTCCTCCCTCTTCTGTTCACTGAGTCGGGACTCCCCCTTCTGCCCCATAACAGGCAGAGCAAAAGCAAACCTGTGGGCTTCCTGGAAAGACCAATTCACTGACCCTCATTTTAAGATAGTTCTTCAAACACTTTCTTTTTAATTTAAGGAGCAAGGCTCCAGAAATGAGCGTTCTGAATCCCCCCGCCCTCCCTCCCCCCCCCCGAGCTGGCACCCACTCTCGCATTTGCAGGACCGCTTTGCACTTCACCAGTGACAACAACTTCCATCCTCAGGCTGGTGAGAGCGAGCATTAACTGGGAGCATTGTTCGGTGACTCACAGGGGCCTCCTGAGTTCGCTGCTGTGAATACGCAGACCAGAGGCCCCACGCCCGAGAGCCGGGAAGTGGGCACCAAGGGCAAAGCCCAGGCAGCGGGAGCCCAGGGCTTGCCCCCACCACTACTGTCACGGCTGAACTGTAGCCCCCAAGTGCATATGTTGAGGTCCTAACCCCCAGGACCTCAGAATATGACGTTGTTTGGAGAGGTTTTTACAGAGTAATCAAGGAAGCCCCGATCCAGCATGACTGGAGTCCTTATAAACAGGGGAACCTTATAAAAAGTAGGAACTAGGACACAGAGAAGGACAAGCACAATGTGAAGACTGTGTGACCAAACAGAGAAGGCTACCATCTGTGAGCCAGGGGGAGCCTTCCCTCACAGACCTCAGAAGGATCTGACCTGGCTGACACCACCTTGACCTCAGACTTCCAGCTTCCAGACTAAGGGAAGAAGCTTCTGTTGAAGCCACCCGGCCTGTGGTGCACAGCCGCCTGAACAAATGAGTATAACTACCCTCACTGTCCACATGCAGAGCTTTGATTCAAGGTGTTCCTGTGCCATGCTAACACCCCCTGTAGACTGGGGCCCCGGGGTGAGTGGGACAGACCGGTCCCTACCTGACTGAGGTTGCCAAGGGAGCCGGGCAGCAAGGGACTATGGGTGTGGGATGCATGCTGGGGAGGGATGCTGGGCACATACGACAGGTGGAAGGGTGCTGCCTTAGATCAAGGGCACCACCTGGAGAGAGGCCGGGGCTGAGACTTCAGTTTCTGGACTGTTTAGGAAGGCTCCTTCTTATCTTTCGGCTTCTCAAACCATTCCTCCCACCTGTCACGGCTTTACTCTGGAAACCTATCTGCCACAGGAGGGACCTGGGGAGATGGTGAGGTCTCAACTCCTCATTTTAAAGGTAGGGAAACAGGCTGGGAGAGGAAAGGCGGCTTTCCCAATGTCCCACAGAGACCAGATTCTCCCTGGCTGCTCCTTCCCCAGTGCTGCCAGAGCCCATGATCTGAGCACCCAGCTGGAGAACCAGCTGGCAAAGATGGGAAGACTTTTCTTATCACTGACACTTCATTCCCAAGTTCCTTTTCGTCATTCACTCATTCTGCTTTGCCATCAGACCTCTAAATGAGCCACTATTTCCCTGTAACTCTCTCCATTTCTGGAGGGAACCAGACCAATAAAACTAACAACAATGATCAAGAGAACTATATGAAGCCATGAGGCCAATACAACAGTTAAATACATTTAGAAACAAGTTGGAACCCCGTGCCTAGAATAAGCTCTGCAGCTTTGGGCTCCAGGCTCAGCCCTCATCTGTTTGGGTAGCTGTGGAGAAATCCAGGTCCTTCTGCAAGAATATTGGCAAATACGAAGATCCATATTCCATCTGCTTGTGGGAAAGAATTCTATTGACACTTAGTTCTCACTCACTGGCCTTAGGATGTGTTGACTCAGAAAATCCAGGGGTATTTATAAGGTGAGGTAATGACATGGGCTGCTGGCATGGGTGATTTTAACAGCAGGGCACTGGATGTACCCATTCTGGAGGGCAGATGTGTCTCTGTTCCAGGAAACTCAGTTTACACAAAATGGCAATTTACCAGGAAATGGAACAAAGAAGAAAAGAATGCCGTAGACCTGTTATTTTAACTGCTGGGCCTTGGAGACGATCTAATCCAATGTTTTTGCACCCAAATCTTCTACTCAAAATCCCCCCTTCCCCCTACACCCCAACAGAATAGATGCAAGTGAATAACACTGCCTCCGGCTAGTGCGCCTCCAAACCTTAGAGAGACATTTCCCCTCTGGAACTGCTGAATCACCTCGGCAGGGATCTACAGGTCCAGGGAACACAGCCTGGAAATGATGAACAATCCTAGGTCTTTCCCTCCCTTTATGGAGAAAACCTAAAGGGGGTGGATCACAAAGTCCGTTCCCTACCAGGTTTCTCACTCCTGGCACAGCACTCTCTCCGTCTGCTTTACAAAGCGCCAAGAAGGCGGTGTTCGACCTCACCTCTCTCCTTCTCTGGGTTTGCACAGCAGCACCTTCCTCCTTTCTGCGGTGGAGGCTGCCCACCCAGTGGGTGTGCCCCTAGGGGTTCTCACTTCTGCGCGCTGGCCTCCAGGGGAAGCTCCACACACCCTCCCTCTATTACTCATTGGCCTCTCTGCACTCCCAAACTTCTCTGTGACCCACCCCAACTAGAAGTACTGCCTGGGGTCAGAGGCAGCAGGTAACCCCAGATCAGGGAGGTGGCTGGGGTGAGCAGAGAGGGCAGAAGTCCTCATGGCTCCATAATTTGGGATCCCAAGGCTGCACTCTAAATCAAAGGCCACTCTGTGCAATGCGTTGACAGCCTAGTGTTAGGATCTCACTCAGGCCTCTTGATTACTCTATGATGGTGGTTCTCAGTGGGGACAGTGTGACCCTAGGGAACATTTGACAGTGTTTGGAGACATTCTGGTTGTCATAACTGGGTGTGGGAGGTTTCTGCTGGCACGTAGATGCTGCAAAACATCCTAAATTGTACAGGACAATCCCCCTCCACTCTGCCACCCACACGAAAATTACCCGGCCCCAAATGTCCAGTGCTTAAGTTGAAGAAACATGCACTTTGGACCTGCACCTACTGTTCCCCACATTCGATAGATATGAAACAGGCTCACCCCAGATCATCTAGCAGAGCCAGGAAGGGAGCCCAGAAATACATGATTCCAAAGAATACTGTTGCTTAACCACCATGCTGTCACCTCTATGGACGGCACCACCCTGCCCACAGGATAAAGCCAGGTATCTCCAGCTGACCTCAGGGTCATTTGCAGACTGCGCCCTGACTGTGCTTGTGGCTGCTGGGCAGTCTAAAATGCTTGCCGTGTCAGCCTCAGCTGCCCTCCCCCATCAGCGCCCACACTGTTGTCTCCAGCAGTTCATATGTGAGCCACCTTGCATGTCTCCTCCCTTAGATAGTCTTCCAGGCTCCTCCAAGAACAGGTCATCAGCATTTTATCTGCATCAAAATGTCTCAGACTCAGTCATCACCATGTGCACAGGTATCTAACAACCAGCATGCCTCCTGCATGCAGACACTGCATGCACTCTGCCCACATTTTCTCACATAGTCCCCGCAGAGACCCTGCAGGTTGGCCTCCTAAACCCCATTTTATGAAAGAGGCAGCCGGGGCTCAGATGAGGTCAGCGACTAAGCATGGACGCCTACCCAGTGTGGATGGCTACACAGGCCTCTGCTCACGGGCCCTGGGCCTTCCCACTAATGGTCAGCAGCCAGGAGAACCCCAGCCCCACTCGGCCCCAGTGCTGAGAAGTGCTAAGTTGGGAAGGATGCAGGCCTGGCAGCAGGACCCCTGGGGAGGGCTCACAATGAGAAGGTGAAGGTTGGTGACATGAACCAAATGCCAGTCATTAATTTATCAGTGCCGGAACTGGGTAATTCACATCATCGGAGTCATTTAATTCTCAAAGCAACCCTGTTGGATAGATAATATTACTATTTTTTTTTTTCAGTTAGCAGATGAGGATTCTGAGCACTTGGTCTGTTTATGGGCCTTGCTTAAGATCACAGAAGGGGCACCTCATAGAGCCAGGATTTGAACATGTGCTTTCCTGTAAGATCTTTCCTCTGATATGAGGGGGCAGCTTTCAGGTGAGTGAGGGGACACCGTCCCTCCATTAGAGGGGTCGAAAATGCAGCAGGCTCTCTCTAGAGGTAGGGCGCTCCCTGATGCTGAAGGCAACTGGTGAACAGGTGGGTGGCCATCTGTCTGGGATGCCGTCGGGGAGACTGGTTAGTGGGAAGGGGACGATGACTGGGCTGAAACCCCTGCATCCTGTGGGTGGGAACGCCTTCTCACATCTCTCCCCATGGTGTTCTTTCCAGGGAGTGTGGTCCCAGTGCCAGGGTGACCAGGGTAAACGTGCTCTGAAAGGGACTTTTCCTCTCACTCAGCAGGCCTATGTGGATGAGACTGAGATTCCAGTTTGGGCTGAGATCCTACCCATACCCCCAGGGCAGGCTCCCCAATCCAGCCAGGCTCATGGGATCTTCTGCACTGGGAGTTCAAGCCCACTAAGGACTTTCCCTTCCTCTGCTCTCCCTGCAGAGCATTTGGGGAGAGATGGATGTTCTTTGGGCTAGGCCTGGAGCCTCCCTGAGTCCCTGGCCAACAAACTGTACTAATACTATCAGTTCCCCACCCTTCATATCTCTTTCCAACTTTAAGATCCTTGAATACATCCTGGAAAATTCCCATTATGACTCTCATCTTTTGGAGGTAAGAGGCTCCCTGGATCCTGACGGCCTAAAGGAACAGACGCATGGTCACTGCTCAGGGACGTGATGGAGGAATTTGGGGGAGGAAGGGTAACTTCTAAATGTACATACTCCATGGATAAATATGAATGTTTTTCCACACAGCTTTTTCACTAAATGTGATTGTCTCCAGAATGAAAAACAGAGAATAAATTATTTGATTAAACCCATTGTGCTTCAGGTCAAAGACTAAGCCAGGCCGAGATATTTGTTAGAAAGATTCACACTAGCATGTAACAGATGTTCTTCCATATGATCACTCTGTCCCCATGCCAAGGGCCCTGAGCCAACATTTGCCTCTCTGCCTTCCATTGCACGTAGCATTTGGACGTTTGAGCAGAAAACTCGGATGAATTAAAAATGAAACAGTTTATTTTTGAAACAGCAGAAACCACTCCATCCTTGGGGTTTTTTGCCAAGTGATCATCTTTGACTGTTTTGACCCGTGAGGAAGGGCAGAGGATGTGCTGTGTGCTTCCACCGCCCAGCCATGCTTAGGGCCACTGCTGCGTAGGTTGTTTGTATGACTGATTACGTACAATAACCCGCGTCTGGCGGATGCTTGTGTCCTCTGGCTCGTACAATACCAGGGGCCCTCATATTCTTCCCCTGGTCATGTTTATCAACAGAACCGGCGGACGGCAGAGGAGCCAACCAAGAGTAAGTAAGCCTGCAGGAGATGCGTATTTTTTTCATTCTGTTCCTGAGAAAAGTAATGAGTTCATATATGCTCTTTTGCATTATAAAAACACCATGTACAGTAATTACATTTTTGAGGAATTCAGAAGTTATTGCGATCAACAGTAGACAACAGTTACTTAAACTACAGGGTGAAAAATAATAATACTCGTTTTCACTTGTGTAGCTTTGACAGCTGACAAACTGCTCTCATGGCCATTCATTTGTTCACTGATACCCATTACTACACGCACGGGGGTGGGGGGGAGAACCCTGCCCTCAGGGGCGCTCTGTCTCCTGGCCTGTATGCACATGTATACAAAGGACTGTACAACAATTAAAACTGCAGGCCAATGGGCTCTGTGCTGAGCGCTGAGCTATAGGGGGAGGAACACGCAGACCCAGTGACCTGCTACAGAGGCACAGGGGACTTCCGCTCAGGAAATAGGCCACAAGTCATGATCTCCACTGAACGGAGCCATCATTTTCAAACAATACTTGTGCAAAGAAAACATGCCTTAAAATTAGTTTGTCATAATTCTTTCTGCTAAAATAAAAATACCCCTGATTAGTTATGAAATAGCTCCATTTGCTATCTTCAGCTATTACATTTACATGAAATAAAAACAAAAGCATATACTGAACACCCCATTTTTATAGGGCACTGAGCTATTTGAGGAAAGTACGGAACAGGAAAAGAGGGAAAAGAGCAGCATGGTCCTTACATTTAAGGCTTCAAATCGAGCTGGACAATCAGGCACGGACACGTCATGTTGTGGGTTCACAGGACAGCATTTGAAATCTCGAGGCCAAGGTGCGTCAGGTGTCTGAGCTGCTGGCCTTTGCACAAGCCCTTCCCCGTGAGCAGGGTGGAGGAGGGCGGCTGGGCCAGCAGCTCACCCATGATTCTTCCAAAGCTCGGGGTCCTTAGAGCTGGCACCCAGGCCATCAGGGCTGACCCCGGGGCCTCCGGCCCTTCATACCATGCTCCTCTCCAGCACCACGGGGCCTTCCCAGCTGCATGGCCAGCTGGCTCCAGCCAAGCCTGGTTGGATCTGAGCACCCCCCCACCCCCAGGGCCCCTGTGTTCACCACACTGGTGCACGTCTTACCCAGCCCCGCAGCAGCTCGTAGGCCGTGACGCCCAAGGACCACCAGTCAACGGGGTACGAATACCCAGGGCCTCCATCCACATACCCCTGGAACACTTCTGGGGCTGCCGAAGACAGGACAAAGAGAATGTCACTGCACGTCACAGTTTACACTCACCAGCCCTTAGCCAGGGCACAAGGGGACAGGAACCCAGCCTTTCTAATGGCAAAGCCAGTACTCCATCCACTGTGCCGTGGGGTTCCTGCTGTGTGTAAGCCAGGAGCCGGCTGGAGACCAAGTTGCTGGCACCCCAGGAAACACTGTGTGACACCTGGGGGCAGATACAGGTGGGAGGCTCCAAGCGCGCCGCCTCTGCTAGCGGAGAGCCGGAGCAAGCCCCCGGTGGGGGGCGGACTGCAGAGCGTGGGGCATGCCCAGCATGGGGACGGGTGGGCAAGGTCTGAGTCGGACGAAGGAGCTGAGTCCCCAAGGGGCTGAGAACCTTGACAAATGTCACTCTGCTTGGGCACCAGCACTGGGTCAGGGGTCCTGCAAACCAGGAGCGATGAGAGCCCTCTGCCTCTGCGGCCTATCTCAGGACAATGTCACCTCAGCGCCGGCGGGTCTAATAAGACATACCCAGAACAGGGAAACCCACAGAGACAGAGGGAGCTGGGGGTTGCCAGGGGCTGGGGGAGGGGAAGACAGGGGGCAGTTGTGTAATGGGTGTCCTTCGGCCTGAAGAAGATGTTCTGGAACTAGAAGGAAGAGGTGCTTACATGACATTGTGAATGTGCTAAATGCCACAGAATCGGTCCTTTAAAATGGTTAATTTTGTGTTACGTGAATTTCACCTCCATTGAAAAAAGTGCAGATGGAACCCAAGTGTGTTGGACGCTTATTCTTTAGGACACTGGGCCTCAGGGTACTGGGGGCCCCCTGCCCTGCTCTCTCTGAGGGGCTGGCTGGCGGGTTACTCTCATGGCCTCAGTCCCAGTTGCTAGGCCAGGATGGTATCTAGGGCCCCATTGCTCATATTCTTCCAGGAGAATTATGGGAAATGTTGGTCATTTCTAGCAAAGTAATTTACAGACAGAATTCCATTTTGCAGTCATCACAGTGGCCACGATCTGGGCCTTGGAGCCACGCCATGTGGTGGCTGAAGACGCCGGACTCAGTGTTCAGACTGGCTCTTGGTTGGTGTGGACCCTGGAAGGGCCAGGTGAGGCAGGACAAGGAACCAGGGGACACTCGGGTCTGGGCTCATGGGTTGGCAGCTGGACACTTGAATCTGACCAGTGGCCAAACTCCAGCTGCCCTCTAGCGACATTCTGTTACCCCACATTTTATAGGGTTCCTGAGGGTTCTCCTTTCCTCTTCACAACAGCTGGGGTCATGTTATTATTTGACCCGTTTTACAGGTGAGGTTCAGAGAGGGGTAGTGGTGTGAAGGAAGTCACACAGCTGAGAAAGTCACACCAAGCTGAGGGGTGCCTGCTGCACAGGCTGAATCCCTGTGTGAAATGAGGTTCATTTGTATCAACACATGGTCAGTCTACACTGGGGGAAGGTGTGATGGGGAGTTTGGGAAGATGTTCCCTGGGGTTATTGGAGCCTCACGAAGGAGCCAACAGGCATGCTGGGAAGTGGGAAGCAGGTCAGCGTGGCTGAGGCTGAGGTTAACAAAATCCTTCTCTTTGCCTCAGTTTTGTAAAATGTGCTCGCTTGCTGCCTGGCCGGCTCGTAGTGAATGCTCTAGAAATCTTAGGCATGCTTCCAGTGACAGAACTGTCATTCAAGCCTCCCCTCTGTGTCATGCTGAGCCTCCCCGTCCACCCAGCCACCCAGAAGCCCTGCGACCTCATGAGTGATCTATCTCCAAAGCCGAGGTTTTGCATTTTTAGTCATCTTTTTGTCTGCTGCTTCAGGTACATGGTAGATCAGCCTGACTCCAAAGGTGGTGATCTTATCTGTTCATTAAGCATTTGGTGAGCAAAGATTTGATTTCCTAGCAGGCACTGGCCCTAGGCTATGCGATTCTGCATCCTGCCTGGATCCCACTGTGAGCCTGAAACTTAGCTCCAACCTGGAGGGACTTCCTTCCCTGCCTCTCAGTCTGTGCTCCTGTCCCTCTGTGCTGAGGGTCCTGGGAGGAAAGGGGCCACATGGCACGGTCCACGCATTTCCAGGAGCTGGATAGCCCAGCCCATGTGCTCAGACAGTGCAGGAGGCCACCCGTGGGTGCAGGGACGGCTGTGTGTGCAAGGTGTTCCCCATAAATCCTTGTCATGCTGGGTAGCCCCAAGCCCATTCAGAGCAGCAGCTGACTGACTTATGTCCTGACTGTCATGACCAATCGAGTGATAAATGTCTGCAGACATGACTGCATTCCCAGAGGTGCTGACATTCCCTCTGCCCCTGCACACTTGGGGCTGATGACAGAATATAAACATGCTTGCATAATCCATATGCCACCAAAATGGCCACTTCTGTGGCTTCAGGTCATAGTGTTTAGAAGTGAGAGCACGGTTCAGGTTTAAAGCTGGAAGGACAGATACACAGCTCACCTGTTACCGCCCTTCCACATGTGGGTGAGTGAATAACAGCAACCAGTTTTCCAGGGGGTGTATCAGAGGGATCTTGTCCCACGACCCTCTTAGGCCTCCCGCCCAGCCAGTGAGACATGTGCTGCCATGATCTCCGTTTCTTTAGATGACGAAGTGGAGGCATGAGGGGAGGTAGTGGGTTGAATAGTGTCTCCCCCAAAGACATATCCGAGTACTAGCCTCCAGTATCTGTGAGCAGGACTTCATTTGGAATTAGGGTCTTTGCAGATGTAATTAACCGTCTCAAGATGAAGTCTCAAGGCAAAATTTAGGGTCCACCCTAAATCCACTTACTGATGTCTTCATAAGAGAAAGGAGAGGGAGAATTGAGACACAGAGGAGGCCGTGGGAGGAGGCAGAGACTGGAGGGATGTGGCCACAAGCCAAGGAATCTGCGGAGCCTCCAGAGGCTGGCAGAGGCAGGAAGGGTCCTCCCCGAGAGCTTCCCGAGGGGGCAGCGCCCTGCGACCCCGGGATTGAGAAGTGAGAAGACGAATTTGCATTGTTTCAAGCCACCACGTTTGTGGTACGTGGTTGTGCAGCCCTAGGACATTAGTAAGGGGAGCTAGTAACTTGCCCCAGGCCACCCAGCCGTGCAGCAGAGCTGGGGTTACCGCCTCTCTGGGTTTTCTGACTCTAGAGTTCTTTATTGGGGTGACTTCCAGGTGTGACCAAGTTCCTTGGACATGAGTCCTGATGCACCTTTACACTTTCCTTCCTCCCTTCCTTCCCAGGGCCATCTCTCAGCCAAGTACACAAGAGGCACTTAATAAATGCATGTCAACGGGCTCTTTCTCTCCTGACACCCTAGAGAGGGTCCAGCCCCTTCCTCGTCTGCCTCGGGAGCAGAGACAGCTCTCGGGCCTTGGAGTGTCAGCATGGCAGAGGTGAGGGGTCCCTGGGAAACACCCTGTCCTTGTCGCCTCCACGTTATAACTGGCCACTGAGCTTGAAGAGGCGTGGCTTGCCTCCGCGACCCACTCACCAACTCTGGGGCCAAGTCTGGGCTGCTGGTCCTGACTCCCAGGCTCAGGGAGTTCCGGCTATTGTACCAGTTAAATCCGGCTGTCAGTGTCAGATAATGCCACCTCAGCGTTCTCACTCCCACACGCCTCCTCTGCAGTGACACTTGGCTCTCATTCAGATCTGCAGTGGTTTCCCCACCAGCCCTCTGGCCTCCAGAATCTCGTCCTCCAGTCTGTCCTTCTTGCTTTGATGGAGGCCTTTCTGAAGTAAGGCTCAGACCTTAGCAATACCCTGCTTAAAGATCTTCCTATCACCTGACTGTTTACAATCTGTGTTTCCAGGAATGTCACCAGCTCCATGGAGGGTAATAGGCTTCAGAGGAGGAAGGAGTCTGAGGTCAAATGATGAGGTTCAACCCTGTTGTTTTCTGCAGGACTTCTCAGAGCCTTTAATAATATGCCAATGGGCTTTACTGACTCTTAAAGGGGCCTGACTCAATAGCAAGCATGGCTTGGAAATCCATTTGACTTAAACCTGGAATCTTTTACATTTTAGTGGGACAGTGCAAGGTACTAGAGTCAGAAAACCATGTGGCCTCAAGGATGAGTCTAAATTCTGCGGTCTGGCACTCAAGCACTTCAGTGTCTGCCTGGAGATCTTCCAAGCTGGGTTGTGCCCCTGGCCTTGCCCACAGACACCCCGGGCTTGAGGGCTCCTGCTGCGTGCTGTTCCTAGAGCACCCCATTTGTCTGCCTGGCTCTCTCTCCTGACTCACCACGCTGCCTCACAAGAGGTGTAGCTCCAGAATCACCTTCTCCAGGAGGTTCCTATACACCAGATGTGCCGCAGTGTTTTTCCACACAGCATGTATCTCTGTGATTATTATTTCCTTACTATTCCTGTCCCTCCAGATTAGATAAAGCCTCCTTTTTTCCTCACCTCCCCCTGGCCTTTCCTGATCACCTTTCCACCTCCTGCTGTGTTTTTGCTTATTGGTCTGCCTTCCATTAGACTCTGAGCTCTCTGAGGGCAGGGGCTGCCATGTTCTCGCTGATGCCCTGTACTTGCTCTGGTGTGAAGGAGACATGTGGGAATGGTTTGTTGACTGACTAAATAAATGGTCATAATAAAAACAGCAAACACTTAGATAGCCCTTGCTATGTGCCAAGCACTGTTTCAAGCTTTTGACGCACTGCTAATAAAAGTAGATAATCTTTATGCAGCATCTACCATGTACCAACAAGCCTTGTTTTAAGAGTTTAGCAAGTACAAACTCACTTAATGTCCACAACATGGGACTGGAGCTGCTGCTGAGCCTGGCTGAGGAAGGAACAGGGATGCTCTGGGCCAGTGCTGTCACGGCTAGGACTGAGGGTTCCCCAGAGCACAGCGATGACAGCACCCTGAAGGGGACGCCCTTCCTCCCGAGAATAGCAAATGACAAACCAAGCAGCTAACCAGAGTTGGCTGTGGCCCATCTACAAAGGATGTCCAGCAGCCAAGGTCGGGGTACCCCTGCTTAGATCATGGGTGAATGCGATTCCGCAAGGCC